GAATATGAGGGAAGGTATATTCCATTCTGGAATTTGACTCTAAGAGACTTGAGTCTAAACGTTGCTTCATACGATGAGAGGTCGTTAGAACATGACCCATCGATCTGTTACAATAGATAAAGGAAAGTACTTATCCTAAGAAGAAGAAGGAGAAGTTGTATGCTAAGTTCTCCAAATGTGATTTTTGGATTAGAGAAGTCCAATTCTTAGGTCACGTGGTCAACCAAGAAGGGATAATGGTTGATCCGACAAAGATTGAAGCTGTGATGAAGTGGGAACAACCGAAAAGTCCCATGGAGATCCGAAGCTTTTTAGGATTAGCCGGATATTACCGAAGGTTTATCCAAGGCTTTTCTTCGATCGCTACTCCATTAACAGCTTTGACCCACAAAGGAGCTACTTATGCTTGGAGTAATAAGCATAAAGAAGCCTTCGAGAAGCTAAAGAAGAAACTATGCGAGGCACCGATACTTTCTCTACCCGATGGAGTTGAAGACTTCGCTGTTTATAGCGATGCGTCAGGTGTTGGGTTGGGTTGTGTTTTGACCCAAAGGGGAAAGGTGATCGCATATGTGTCTCGACAGTTGAAGGAGCATGAAAAGAACTACCCGACTCATGACTTGGAGTTGGCGGCGGTAGTTTTCGCTCTAAAGATATGAAGGCATTACCTCTATGGCACGAAGTGCAAACTTTTCACTGATCATAAGAGTCTCCAATATCTCTTTAATCAGAAAGAATTGAATATGAGGCAACGACGTTGGCTAGAATTACTCAACGACTACGACTGTGAGATACTTTACCACCCCGGTAAAGCAAATGTTGTTGCTGATGCTCTCAGTCGGAAAGTCAATGTTGAGAGAAAAAGGCCAAGAGCGTTGAGAATAGAAGTTGTCTCGACAATTGTGGAGAGTATAAAGAAAGCTCAAGAGGAAGCTTTAGAAAAGAATGACCGAAAGGAGGAACGTTTGGGTAAAACGTTAGTGTTCGGTATAAACAGTCATAGACTGAAGGTGTTCCAAGATCGGATTTAGGTACCTAAGTCCGGAGGAATTAGAGGTCTTCTGATGGAAGAAGCTCACAAAACCATGTACTCGATTCATCCTAGCAGCACTAAAATGTATAGGGACCTGAAACCCTACTACTGGTGGCCGACGATGAAGCTTGATATTGCAAAGTACGTGGCGGAATGTGTGACGTGTGCTAGAGTCAAGGCACAACATTAGAAACCATACGGGAGTTTAGAACCTTTACATGTGCCTATGGGTAAATGGGAAGACATTGCTATGGATTTTGTCACTAAACTACCCAGAACAAAGAACGGTCACGACATGGTTTGGATGGTCGTTGATCGCTTCACTAAGAGTGCGCACTTCATAGCAGCCAATGAGAAATGGTCTATGGATAAGCTTGCGCATTCTTACGTGAAGGAAATTGTGAGGCTTCACGGTGTTCCGTTAACGATTGTGTCAGATCGTGACAGCCGTTTCACCTCACGATTTTGGAAAAGTCTACAAGAGGAATTGGGTACCAAGTTGTGTTTAAGTACAGCTTACCATCCACAGACTGATGGTCAGAGCGAAAGAACAATACAAACACTTGAAGATATGCTGAGAGCATGTACCCTGGAATTCCAAGGTAACTGGGATGAACATTTACCTTTGGTAGAATTTTCCTACAATAATAGTTTCCACTCGAGCATAAAGATGGCACCTTATCAAGCTTTGTACGGACAGAAGTGTCGTACGCCGTCTTGTTGGCTTGAGGCTGGAGAAAAGCAGTTTATGGGGCCCGAGATGGTTCATCAAACCGCTGAAAAGTTGAAAATAATTAGAGAAAGAATGTCACCAGCTCAGGATCGTCAAAAGAGCTATGCTGACAAGAAGCGAAGGCCGATGACTTTTGAGGTTGGAGATTCAGTTTTGCTTAAAGTCTCGCCGTGGAAGGGACTTATAAGATTTGGAAAAAGAGGAAAGTTGAGTCCAAGGTTTATTGGACCTTTTAAAGTTCTTCAGAGAATTGGGAACCAAGCTTACAAGCTCGAATTACCCAAAGAACTAGATGGTATTCATAACACTTTCCATGTGTGTTATTTGAGGAAGTTCACGGGAGAAGTTCCCGACATTATTCCAATTTTTGAATTAAGATTGGATGAAAACAAAAGGTTGATTGAAGAACCTGAGGCAATCGTTGACCGAAAGACTAAGAAATTACGACGCAAGATGGTCGAATTAGTGTTTGTCCGTTGGAAACATACGAGTTGGTCAAATCTCACCTGGGAAACGGAGAGTCACATGTTGAGTCGCTATCCGCATTTGTTTGTTGATGTGTGATTCCGGGGACGGAATCATCCTAAGGGGGGAGAGAATTGTAACGCTCGCGTTTCCAGGCTAGGCATTATTTTTGATGTAATAGTCTAGGTTAACCCTTGTAACTCTTCTTAAAGTATTAATGATGAAATATTTGAGTATTACGTGAATTATGTGAATTATGTGTTTATTTTCTCTTAATTATTATAATTTAATGAATTAAGAATAAAATGAGCGTCAAAACTAAAGTCTGAGATAAGCCCGATATCTTTACATAAAGTTGTAGTGGTCGAAACAAGGATTCCGAAGATATAAAGAATGTCGAAATCTGAGTTATAACGAAGAAGTTATGACCTGTCGAAGTTTCGCGACAGAACCGGCAACGCTGAATGACGTAAAAAGTGAAATTTACGTTAGAGCGATATTTAGCCTTAGTGATCTAAACGAAAGTCGTAGAGTTCGTTAAACCGAGAGCGTGCATAAAAAGAACACCCAAATCTGACTTCGTATGAGGAAGTTATGATTTTCCGAAGTTTCGACTTAGCAGTATGTAGCCCGAATACTCAATTTGAGACCGAGCGGTTTTAGCCAAAACAATCTAAACGAGAATCAAAGATCTCTTTATTAGTATTGCAACGATAAAAAGACAGACGAAAACGGACGTCAGATGAAGAAGTTATGAATTTATAACGGAGTTTTCCTGTCCCGGCCTACTAAAAATAAATAATAAAATAATAAATTCAGAATTAGCCGACGGAGTCTAAACGAAAGTTGTAGCGCGTAGTCTCACCTACACGTGGATATAAAGAACGTCGAAAACGGAGTTCGTATGAGGAATATATGAATTTTTGAAGTTTATGAAATAATTAAAGTATTAAATTTAATTATAAAACTCGATATTATCCGAAGGGGGGGAGTCACCGGACTTATCCGGGTTACGCCCAGCGTACAGCAAAGCATGACCCGCCTCGCACTCGAGTACTCCGAAGTGCGTAAGCAGTGACGTTTCCGGAGCAGTACGCCCAGCGTAATGCGAGGCTTCAGCCTCTATAAATAGCATGCGAGGGCAGCCGGCTTCTTTTGCCAAATTCTCTTCTCTTTCTCTCGTTTTGCATCGTTTTGCATCCTAGAAATATCCCGAAGCCCCGGTATTAATGAAGCAAGTCCAGCCCCCCAGCCCCCCGAAGACCCCCCACATGCCCCCAGATCCCGAGAAGTGCAATTCCCGAGCCGAAGCTCTGCTCGCGAGGAGCCCGGTTTTTGTGAAGATCTTCCAGATCTACCGAAGAATACTACTTCTACAAGCCGTAGTGCTGTCCGATCATCTTCTGATCAAGTGAGTGTGTAGTCACTTTCTTCTAACGCATAATTATGAAGTATCTTATACGAAATACGTGTTATGTGTATATTATGTTGTTATATGTGTGAATGTATATTCACTTTCTTCTATCTCATAGATATGATTTATTCTCTATGAAATACGTGTTATGTGTATGTGTCTCATCTGATGCTTGGAATATCTATTGAATGAGAATGCTATACAGGTTTTAAACTATGTATAAATATATATATTTTTATCTACTAATATGTTGGGTAGAACATGGGTAGATAGTTGATGTGTGATAACCAGATGAGAGGCCTCGTTGTTGTTGCTGATGTCATCTAGCGGAGTTTAGATGATGACCACGGACTTTTCTAGACGGTCCAGTGGAACGCTAGCAGGCTCATTACCTGTAGGTGTTAATGAACTTAGGTGTTCATTTGATGTACTCCATCCCCCTCATGGTTGCCTTTAGGACATCTATTGTTAAGGAAACCCCTTTGCAGTAATGTCCGTCCCGATGAAAATCCTAGATTAGGTCCCTTGTAATAGCTGTTGTTTTAGGGACATAAAGTGAGGATAACGGTAATGGGTAATCGGGTTATTGTTGGTTGATGAACTAAATATATTTATTTATTGTGGGTTGAAAACCCTATATGCTCACCAGGCTCCCAATCCTGACCCACTCAGTTTTCTTTGTATTACAGGTAGTGGCGCCAGAGCATAAGTTGGATGACTTGTCAAGTTATTTTTGGATTATAGACCTGCTGTTATATATAACTGTTGTTAGGTCTGTATTGTAATGTTTATGCTTTTGGTGTGTTTATCGGAACATGACATCCCGAGTTTGTTTTAATGAAAATACATTTCTTTATGAAATGCTTTGGTAAATCTATTTTATCATATTTCGTTTGGGAACAAATTCCGCAACTCTTTTAATCAAAGGATTACTCTGAAATTGTTTTAAAAGCATAAATTAAACCGGTCTTTTCTGGCCGTGATTTTGGGGATGTCACAATATATATATATAGATATATATATATATATAGATATATATATATATATATATATATATATATATATATATATATATCTAATATATATATATATATATATCTATATATATTATATATATAATATTCAATTGTATCAACAACATAAAATTAACAAAAAAAAGTCAATGTTTTCACATTTCAATATGCATCTAATCTAAGATAGACAAAGTCACAAATTGACGATCACACTTAGAGTTTACAAAAGTGTCGTCTTTCAAAACACATGTGAACATTACATAAGCATGTTAAATCATTAGATTAGATATATGAAATGAAGTAAACAAAATATCCTTGCATGTAAATGTAATTAACTTCATTTCACTCCAAAAACCCTTCTTCATCAGAATTAAATTCAAAATATTCATCACCTTCAACTTGTTCTGCATCCGACACAAAATCATCTTCATGGAGTTCTCTATCCTCTTGGGTTGCGCTTTCATCATCAATTTCTTCTCCACCATTCTCCAAACCACCACCTTCTTCCATTTCCTCATCATCATCACTAATAGCAACAATACATGATTGTGCCATACTAGCATCTAGAGAACACAATACATCTGCATTTTGATTCTTTACTCTTGCCCACTTGTTGATGAGTTTGGAATTAAATTGAACATATACAAGATCATGTAATCGTTGACTGTCAAGCCTATTTCTTTTCTTTGTGTGTATCTAATTAACAAAGTTTAAAATAATATTAGTTTATAATAATATTGCTAGTTAAGTAGGTATTAACAATTGAAAGTTTTACTTTTTAGCACATAATTACTTACCCCCTCAAACGCACTCCAATTTCTTTCACAACCGGAAGAGCTAGTCGTCAATGAAAGGATTTTTATAGCCATCTTTTGCAAAGTTGGAGTTGAATTTCCATATGTCATCCACCAAGTACCTACTTAAAATATTAAAAATAATGAGTAAAAATGTCTCTAAAAACATTTGTTTAACTACAAGAAAACAAAATGAAAGTTTATGCAGTTTTTTTTTCACATGTTTTATGTTGTTTTGATGCAGGCTTTTTTATGATTTTATATCTTTTTTAGTTTTTTATACAATCTATTATTTGCTTTTTTTCCCTTCTTTTCTCACTAATGCTTTAAAAAAATTATGCTTTTTTCTAACCTATTTTTAACCTGTTTTTGTTGTAGTTATATGCACTTTTTTCTGTTTTGAAAATGTTTTTAAGAAGTTTATCTACATTGATACTTAACTTTTTGACAGCAACCACTTTTATTAAAGTTTGTAAAACGTACCTGGATCATAAGAGCTATTATTTTCTGAACACCCCTTTGCGGCTAACATTCTTCCAAAATCTCCTTCTTTTTCCTTATACTTTGGGAGCTCCATATTTATTACTTGGTCTTGCTTGTCATTGTCATCAAGAAAAAACTTTTCAATACATATAAAAACTATATCTGAAACCATAACATTGTCTTTTATCTCTTGATCTTTAAAGAAGTAATAAGGATTCAATAGGTAAGCCATCATATGTAACGGACTATCAAGTCGACCTTTAGCTTTTGTGTCAATAATGTCTATGATAGAACGATAGTTATTCTCCACATTATTAAAAGCCATTTTGATATCTTCTTTTGCTTGTTTAAGCTCTCCATACAAGAAGCCCATTGATGGCTTTGGATCTCCATCAACTAGTCGAAGGACTTTGACTAACGGAGAAATCACCTTCAAACATAAATTTATCCCATTCTAAAAAGCTCGGCTCATTACAATTTCGTATGCTCCTTTCCCATTTTTAGTATCAGCCCATTTAGATTTTGTCCACTCATCACTAGTAAACATAAGTCTTAACATTTCCTTCTTCTCCAACAAACTTTCCAATGTAAGGAATGATGTAGCAAACCTAGTAACTCCCGGCCTCACGATATCCTTACACTTTGTAACTTATGCATTAACGCCAATGTCCTATGATGTGCGTAAATGAAAATAGTTAAAGTTCTTGCCTTAGCAATCCAATTTTTGAATTTAGGTTCTTTACCAATCACTTCAAGCATAAGATCGATGGTGTGTGCAGCACAAGAAGTCCAAAATAGGTTTGGTCTCTTCTCTATTAGCATGTTGGCGACTGCCATATTATTGGCAGCATTGTCAGTCACAACTTGTATTACATTCTTTGGCCCAACTTCTTTAATGCACTTGTCAACATAATCAAATATGAATTGACCCATGTGTGCATCTTTGGAACATTCAACAGAAGAAATAAAAGTTGTACCTTGCCTAGAGTTCACACAAAAATTCATTATGCTTCTTCGTTTTCGATCTGTCCAACCATCCATCATAACTGAACAACCATTTTGTGCCCAATCTTCTTCTTGTTTCTTTAGAAGCCCTTTAGTTCTTTCAACTTGCTCCTTCAATAATGGTTCCCTAAGTTGATATTGACTTGGAGGACGGTAACCTGGACCATATTTACCAACTGCTTCAACAAACTGCTTAAACCCATCATTATCGATTGAATGAAAAGGGAATACCCGATTCATATACCCATCGGGCACAAAACTGATGTACATCAAGTGTCCTTTCTTTAGCAAGTGCTTTCATAAGATTTTTTTTGACGCATATTAAGAGTTGGGGCTTCGGTATTAATAGGATTTGCAAAATTGTCAATTGGCCCCAAATAGTTTGGCTTCTTTTTCTTAGACCCCACATTGAACTCATTGTCTTCATCTTCAATTTCAACCTCCGCTCTTAGTTCTTCTTCTTGGATTCTTTTCTCTTTCTTCTTCTCTCTTGGCTTCTCAACTAAAGCGGTACACAGAGCTTTATCTTCTTTGCTTGCATTCTTACATATGGATACACCCTTTCCCTTTATTCCCGATATATGGTACTTCAGCCTAGTAGTTCCTGCTCTAGAAATAAACCCACATAGATTACATTTGATTGCATCTTTATTTTTAAGATCACACAAAGTCCCATATTTCCATCCTGGATCACCAGAACTTCTTATCAGGAGTGCATTTGCACAGGAACTACCACCAGTTGTTGTTACTGGATCTGTTGGACTTGAACCATCCAAATTAGAATCTACACTTGCCATTCATGTATATCCTGTTTCGAAATAAAATGAACGAATTAAGACATAAAAATTAGAGGTGACAATGGGTCGACCTGGGTTGGGTTCGGGTTCAACCCATTTAATAATTGGGTTGAAAATTTCAACCCAACTCAACCTGTTTATTTAAATGGATTGATATTTCCAACCCAACCCAACCTTGTAGATAAATGGGTTGTCACCGGGTTGACCTGTTTACGTAGTTCCCGGCCCAACCTATTAAATAAATAGGTTAAACTTGGGTTAACCCATTTAAAATAAATTATATAATTAAATATTATACCACTTAAATTATAAAACATAAATAAAACTTCATATTTATGATAAAAGCACAATCCTAATTCATAAATACAAATAAATTGTTCAAATAACATTAAAAATGTTAAGTTTCACAGTGATTTTGGAGAGTGGACAGTATTATCGGTGCTAAAAAATGATGGAAATTAAGATTTAATTTTGTTAAACATAGATAATAATAATGCAACATTATAATTTACAAATTAATACTTTGATTAATACATGATAATATTCAAATAATATTAAATTAAATATATATATTAAAGTTAAATGGGTTGACGGGTTGATAATTTTTACCCAACCCAACCTATTTAATTAAATGGGTTAGACGGGTTGACCCATTTAAGTTATATGGGTTGAAAATCTCAACCCAACCCGCTAATTTTGAGTTGGGTTCGGATTGGGTTGACAGGTTGGGTCGATTTTTGCCACCTCTAATAAAAATGTAAACGATAATCTAACACCATAAGCCAAAAGTGTCAATAAACTAATTATGCTTTACCAATATGAAGAAAGGTGTTTATAATAAACTAATTACCAATATAATATGAACAAAAGTGCTGACGGTGGCCTCGATTTAGTAATTATCAATACAATATAAAGTTATAAACACCATAGGATGGTCTTTGCATTAATGGGTTGTACGGTACCATTACTCCATCCACACTCTATAATTCTATTATATTCGTTAACGAAGAAGCATAGCAAATTAGCAATAAAGAACCTAACAACTTTGAATGTTGTTTAGATTTAGTGGCTATAAGTGGCTCAAAAATAAACATTAAAGCTTCCACTAACGTCTAATGATAAGTATTAGACTATTAATGCACTACAAAACATGAAAATTTTGTTCATAAGTCTGACGTTTGAATACAATGATGAAGTAAGAACTTTAAAATTCGAATCAAATAAGGAAGCTTACCAACAATGTTGAAAGTTGAACCTTGAAGATCGACCGTGTAGTTGAAACTTGAAGACGATATGTAGAGGAAGAAAGAATTGAAGATCGATCGACTGAGGAGAGAACCAAAAATACTCTGTGAAAAAACCCAAATACTTTTTAATGCCGTAAAAATTTTAGGTTTTATTTTACCCCCAAAAAATAAAGGACTAATAACGCGCCTCAACAAACACGTCACGTTACGCGCAAAGGCGCGCCTAATTAAGCCTTGGCGTACGCCACACCAAGTAGCAACGTTATTGATCGTTTCGTAACGGCTTACTCACGCCTTGACACCATGGCGCGCCTTGGCGCCGCCATGGCGTGTTATTTAGAACCCTGAGTAGATGTGAATGGTAGTAGAGGCCTACACTACCGGAAGCACAGGACTCGCACTTGGATCAGGGAAAGTCACAATGTTACCAAGAAGCTAGTAATTGATTTCGTTTTATTCAAGTACGTCGTTACCATTGTTTCGGTAATGATTAAGAAGATGATTGTCATTTCGACCCTAGTGGTCATGTCAAATCGAGCCCGACTAAGACGAGTATGTTACGTGGTTCAGAGAAGTAAGTTCGATGTAGCATCTGACTTAAGCTGGAAGATTGAAATAAAAGATAATCAAAGCGATCAGTAGAGGTATCACGATAGTTGCTTGTAGCTAGAAATGCTACATTTTAAGATGTGATTAGAACATGAAGGAAGGTATAGCCTGTTCTGGAATTTGACTCTAAGATACCTGAGTCTAAGCGTTGCAACATACGATGATAGTTCATTAGAATATGACACATCGGTCCATTGTAATAATAAAAGAACTTATCTTCAGTTTGTTAAGAAGAAGAAGTAGTCTCCAGTAAGGATTGAGATTGTGACTTGAAGATCATAATTTGGAGTCTAACGTGAGATAGGGAGCAAGTGCAAGATCGAGCACCGCCTGCAGTCAAGGAGTCCAAGAGTTAGATACTCGTTCGAAGCAACATAGAAGTTACGGTTATTACCTAGGATGAAGAGATAACATATGGAGTCATTATACATGCCCTGTTTCGTTGATGATTGCGGGACATAATCATCCTAAGGAGGAAATAATTGTAACGCCCGCAACTTTGGGCTAGTCAATTTAGAGACAATGAGCATCAAAAAATGAGTTTTTTGTTGGATTAGTGTCTAAGTCCATAACTATTTTGGTATGTACTTGACCCGATTATGAGCATGGTCCTTTTGGGTTGCCTTCACCATAGCAATTTGTAGGATGAATTATGGAGAGAGATGATTAATTATGATTTATTAATATATTATGAGAATAATATATTAAAGGAGAAATCATATTGTTTAATTAATATTGGTCAAGAATTAATTAAATAGTGAATTTACGGTAGAGGACTTTTTAGCCTTAGCAATCTAAACAAAAGTTGTAGTATACGTTAAACCGAGAGCGTGCATAAAAAGAACACCCAAATCTGACTTCGTATGAGGAAGTTATGATTTTTCTAAGATTTGGCATAGCAGTGCACAGCCCGAAACTCGAATTTTAGATCGAGCGGTTTTTGGCCAACGCGACCTAAATGAGAGTTGAATATATCATTAATAGGAACTCAACGATAAAAAGACAGACGAAAACGGAGTTCGTATGTAGAAGTTATGAATTTTACGCGGTCATTTAACAGTATAATCTCCTCCTACTGTTAAATTTAAGATCGATCGAGAATTAGCCGACGGAGTCAAAATGAAAGTTGTAGATATTTTTTTACCTACGCATGGATATAAAGAACATCGAAAACGGAGCTCGTATGCGAAAGTTACGGGGTTTAGAAGTCAGCAGGGTGCTGCTGCAAAAGGGTTGACGTGGCACAATATAGGTCACCCACGTTTTGCCACCAGAATGGCGACACGTGACATGGACTCGACGAGTTGGAGGTTGACCCGGCGAGTCAGGCTGTCTGGTAGCCTATAAATAGAGGTGTCGGGTTATGCCTATTCTTCACACCATTCCAACCTCTTCTCCCCCTCTCTTTCTAGACTCTCTCTCTAGCCCCCAAACCCCCCCCCCCCACCCCACCCACCCACGAAAGCCTAGGGTAACTCCCTAGCACGAGGCGGAAGCCCCGGAGCGCCCGACAGCTCCGAAAAGAAGAGCCTTCGGCTCAGAAACTCTGCTTCGGCGGAGCCCAGTTTTGAGAAAAACCTGCTGTAACTAAGCTACGCCTAACCTATCTTTAGTATAGCTTATGTTTTAATATAGTAATGTTATTTGGAACTTATAATGAGTATTTGGGCTATTATTATGAGTTATATAAGTCTCGTTATAATATCTTTTTAACCACTCGCAGTATGGGGAATCTCGTTTGGAGGGCCGCTTGCGTTGCTGGATTTCAGAAGTGTTATATGCCAAAATGAACATGCCCTCCGGTGTTCCATGTCTGCCCCCTATCTGTACAGAGTGGTCTTAGAGTATTGTTTAACGCTTATATAATAGTAATAATAGTTAGAATATTAATTAGTCTCGACGAATATTAGACTAAATTTTAGTGGTAATGATACTAGGTTTCGTCAAGGGAAAATTGTTTTAAGAGTAACGAAGTGTTGTCCGAGTGCCGAGTCACCACCTTACCAGGTGAGTGCGTAGTTACTTTCATCTTACACACTGATACGAAGTATTTTTATATAAATTACGTTCTGTGTGTGCATATTATCTGAATACTTGTTGTCTATGCTGGATGAATGATTTTATATATGTTTTAAACGATTTAAACTGTATATGTATTTTATCTACAAAATGTGTTGCGTAAAACATGGGTATATTAGAGATGAGATAAATGATGAGCGATGAAAGATGAGATAAATGATGAGCGATGAAAGATGAGATAAATGATGAGCGATGAAAGATGAGATGAATGATGAGCGATGATATGTGTGTGGTAAAATATGGTGAGAAGTGATGAGCCAAAACCATGAGCCAAAGCGATGAGCCAAAACGATGACCCACCGTCATCTAGCAGAGTATGGATGACAACCACAGACTATTCTAGACATCCCATTGGAACACTAGCAGGCTCGCAACCTGTAGGTGTTGTGAACGATGTGTTCGCCGGTGTACTCTAAAAACCAATTGACATGTATTGCGAGTGCACTCTCGAAACGATACTGCCAATAAACGAGATGAACCCTGGCGACTATGAGACTTAGTGCCTAAACCCTGGCGATCATGCAGACTTGGTGCCTAA